CGCACAGGTTGTCGGCGCATGTGGGCGCGCGCGGTCACCACGGCCAGCTGCTCACCGCCAGCACAGACTGCGCAGCGTCGCCGCTCCGCCGGCCAGAACATGCAGACAACCCTTCTTGCAGTCGCACAACACGTCGCCAAACTCATTCACCTGCTCCACCATGTTGTTGATGTCACCGAGTCGTTCGAGTTGTGGCTCGTGCCGTCGAGCATGACCTGCCCGATCGGACACGGGTCAGCGGCTTCTGCTCCAGCGAAGTCTTCATCTTAGTGACGTCTTGCTGATCTCCACAAAGGCTGAGCAGATGACCTTACCCACAGAGACGGCCGACGTCCTCGCCAGCGACCGCTTGGTTGTGCAGACCTGCCAGAAAAAGAAAAGCTGTTTGGTGATCTCAAACGATTTTTTTCTTTATGCAGTGGAACAAAACGGAAAATATGTCATACAACAGGAACTAAAAAAAGATGCAGCCTATGTTGTCTAAGAAATGGGTGCAACATTGATAAAATTCTTCATTGAATGAATTCTGCAAATGCTTTTGATAAAATGTGTGGTGATTATAAGGAGACCACTTTACTATAAAATTGCTCAGGATTCCCTATCTGGACCTGTCAAAAAATCCTGACTGCACATCAATAATGAGCATTAAATCCAAAACCTCTACCAGGTACCTAGGGATAATTAAATTCTGATTCAGGAAAATATTTCACATCATACAAATAAAAACCTTTACTATATTGAAACTGAAAATGTGATGCTGATCCAGTAACCTAAGGGTCTCAAAGTATAATAATGAATTAATCAATTATAAATTTGGTGGTGACTGCCGACTGGCGTCTGGCGGCCTAGACCTTGAGGCTTGAAAGTGGCCTTCCTTTTCCGTTGACTCCGATCCTCCAGATGGAAATGATATAAAGGATCATTTTTATCTTATTTCATATGAGCGAGCCAGTCAGCAAAGTGGATATCCTGTTTCAGCATTCACCCACACAATAGTTGACTGTCAGTCTGTCATGCTGTCAGTGTTGTGAAGTAATGAAGGAGTTGAGTTTTGTTGATTATAAATTGTGATGTTATGTAAAGGACTGGAAAATGAATGTGAAAACTATGGAAACATATTGGCAGAGTATTGTCACTTACTATCAGGACATATGGATAGAGAATACATTCAAATTAATAAGAAATGCCAAATATCAAGGTACTCAATCACTGATAGCAGTGGACTATCATATGTTTTAATGTCAATTATATGAAAGTTAAGACTGAAACTACCTTTTACCTCATCATAACTAATGAAAAATTGTGTGAAGAAAACATTCACAGCCTCTTTGAAGCACTTAGACCACTAAAAAACAAAAATTTTCACGTAAATATGTTGTGTCTCCTTCCTTCAAAACATCATATCGGATGGCGCCACTTTCGTCGACAGTTACTTATCTGCACGCAAATCGAGGAAAACGTGAATTGATTGACGTTTACGTGTTTCCAAATTTAAAATCACAGCATATTCAAACTTTTCAGTGTACCTTTTAACATCTAAGTACAACTAAAACGATAAAAACTTACCCTCAACACAATGACGACGACAACCACGCGACCGGAGACGTCGCGACGAAATAAACAAACGGCGCCGCCAAATGAAAAATATTCTCCGATATGGGTAATGTGAAATTGAATCGCAATCATTTTGGGTAGTATGAAAAATGCTCTTTCCAACAGAACCCTAGTAAAAAACGTGAATGGACAAAAAATAACTTTTATTTCGACATAAATATTGGCCTGTTTTTAAGTCATCCTGGTATGCCGTAAGATTTCGACCTATAAATTGGTGTTCCCCCAATCATTGAAGCTTGAGCAGTGAAAAATATGAAAGCCTAATCTGTTTTGCATCATTCGTGATTCTCCTAGGGTGTTGCCATTTCTCCCTAGGTGTTGCGAGTTGCTTTTGCAAAACGTGTTCCTGAAACGGCTCAATTTTTTGAGCCCTCAGCATTACGCCTATGGGAGCCTCTGACGTCACACGCTCAATATTTTGAGCGCTCAATAATTTGAGCTTTTCCCCCTTGTGCGTGGGACTGATGTGGAGGCTCTCAAGGCGCACATCGTGAAGACGTGGGAGGCGATGGACCCCGCCTACATCTTCAAGACATGCCAGTCTTTTCACCCCTGTGTGGAGAAGGTCATCACCGCTGAGGGGGGTTATATTGAGTGAGGGGGGAGTGAAAACATGTGGTAAGATGTGGCAAACCAGTGTTTGGTGGTTTTATTAAATATAGCTGCTCAGGTTGCATTTGTTTGTGGAAATGAGGAGATATGACAGAACTTTTTCCGCACCCTGTACGAGGTATATACCTGCCGGCACAATGTCCCCAAGGTATATACGAGGGTTGTCTGCCTGAATAAATACACGCTATAACAAAATACCCATCTCCCCACCCCTCGCGGTACGTTACCGGTGAAGAGTCCGATGATGGTGGCGGGGACCTCTGAGGTGGTGGCTTCTCGCGACTTCTTGGTCAGACACGTCTGATCTTGTCCAGCCAGACAGAAATGTCTGGCCTTGTCCGGTCAGACCCGGCTCTACTTTGACTTTAGCGTGAAAGCTGAGCCTGGAAAGGTCTGACGTTCGGCGACGGCGCCGAAGTTCACTCATCAGTGAGTTCACTCATTGTCATCACTCATCACTGAATGTGAAGACCGACAGCTCAGGCTATGAACCGTCATCACCAAAGACCGACACGGACCCACTCATCACTCGTCACGCACCCACTATCACTCGCAACACCAAAATAAATAACAATTGTCGGCAGTCAGCACGCGACTTCACACAATAAAAACAAACACGTGGAGCGCGCGGTTTCGACGCGGGCTGCGGTCAGCTGATTGTGCATCCGTCAGCTGAGCTGGCTGCTGATTGGTGGACGCCGTGACCGACTGGTCGCCGCGGGGGAGGGGGAGGACGGGGGGGGGGTGTCGGCTGGCGGGGCCCAGCGGCCGCCGACCAGCAGTCGAGGAGTACCTAAGCGACAACCGTCGGTCCTATCAGTCCAAGTCCTTAGACATACCTAATTATTAGAGATGTCAATCGGATACCCACTTTTTGGTATACCGATACCAAACCGATACCAACTTGGTATTTGGTATTTAAATCGTAATGTGTTTGGTATTTTGTCGGTATCATAAATCCTCACTAATGTTTAAGAGGCTAAGAAATCGGTAAAAAGTTGGTATTTCCCTCATTTTCCAAAGTTGGTTTGGTTTCGGTATTTTCCCGCGGTTTTGGTTGGTATTTGGTTTGGTATCGGTATTTCCGTAATTGACATCACTACTTATTATACCGCCATCCGAAAGATCTGCCTGCAATGATCTTGTCTCAAGTTACTCCCAACTCTAACAAACAGGATTAAACCTAAACCGCCCATGGCCGGAGCAGGGAGCTTTTCCAGGGAAGTTGGTTGGCGGGACAAAAAGTCTGCAAACCTACAACTTCATGGGTCAAGTTTGATAAAATGCCAGGCTGAAACAATTCATATCATTCCAGAGACAGCCGTTTGCATTATACACACATTCCAAAACTTCTCCAAGCGAAAAAAAAAATTGAGTTGCAAAACCACAAAGTCCTACAAATAAGCTAACACTGGTGGAGCAAAGCGCTTATTTTCGGGCGAAATGGCATGTTGGTGGGGCAGCCGCCCCACCAGCTGTGGGATATCGGCAAGGGTAGGGTATAGGAAGCTCCGCCCCCGAAACCGTCCCTACTCCCTCACTGAAGTTTTAATGCTCCATACCTATTATATTAGCTACACTCGGCCGGTCTTTGAAAATAAAAGAAAAACATTTAAAATGATAATGATTGGAGCACTTCCCGTATTACGTGATAACTGATAGGGAGAAATGTTTTATACCACCTTGACTTTGCCTTTATTGACCCCAAACCACCTTAATGACCATCGGATAAATCTAAATCATAAATGCGCCAACAAAGAAAAAACAGTCGCGTGCTGGCGAAACTCGTGGGCGACAAAATAACCGTAGCCGGTAATCTTTCCCATGGGCAGACCCAGAAACGCGGTTTCGGTCGTTGTGGATCGTTGTTTGTGGGTTGGCGTGGGATTTTTTTCCAAATGGCAAAAACTTCTCGGATTTGGATTCCAGTTTAATTAAAGTAAACTTTTCCAACACAAGTGTTTGGTTATCTTTCGATTCTAGAAAACGACAAATTTTCATTTAGCTTGGACGCTGCGAGGGAGATCCAAATGCCCCCCCCCCCCTGATCAGCCAGTGCACGTACTCTACTCCACAGTCCGCATATGTCTATAGGTGCATGCCAATTGCCAAGTGAATCTTCCACAGGTTGTACGGGCCCATCAGAAAAGAAACGAATTAAAGCCGATGCCGAAGTCTGAAAACAAAACACAATGCCAGTCGGCAATCACTGCACCATTCACTGGCGCGGAGTGTGTCTGTCTGTTGGGCCTTAGACCACCAGTGGACGCTTATTGACACAGCAAGGCAGTGCTGAATGGCGTCTTTAGCTGTCGACACTGCTGAGGTCTGCGCGGCTGTGTACCCAACCCTGCAATATCAACAGACATCGGGAGGGTACTGGGTAGACACGTTTACCAACGCCCCATACAGCAACACACACACCCATTCAGGAAATATAAGGACCACCGTGGGACCGTCTCCATTTCATCACGCCTAGTTCTGTCATGAGCTAGCTCCCATTGCATGTTTCTTATTCGCATCCGTCTGAATGTCTGATATGCCCCCCCCCCCCCGTCGTCCTGTCATGTCCCTCTGTCCCCTGCTCTCTGTCCCTCTGCTCCCCGAGCCTCTGTCCCTCTGTCCTCTGGATATCTCTCCTTCTTCTCTTCTCTCCCTCTGTCCTCTGTCCTCTCTGTCTCCTGCCCCCTCTCGCTCTGTGTCCCTTATGTCCCTCCTTATCCCTCCGTCCAGTACCGTCGAACCACAGCTAGCCTTACGCCGTCGGTCGTGCGCGCGTAGTCAGTACGTCACCGACCGTCCTAGCAGAAGGACCGCCGTGCGCCGGTCGCGGAGACCACTCAGTGCCCCGCTCGGTCCGCCGCGGGTCGGCGACCACCCTGCTGTCAGTCCGACCATGGACCAACCGCAGACCATCGTGGTCCTACTGGCGTGTTTGGTCCTCGCCGCCTCCACAACCAGCGCCGCCGAGACGGACTTATATGGTGAGTGACGGGCCCGATCTTACCCCCCCCCCCGCTGATGGAGGTTCAGGCACGGCATTGTTTCCGAGTCGCTAGCTGTGGGGATTGTGAGGTGGGCTGTGAGGCGTTATGGACCCTGTGGAGCTCCGAGGAACGTCGTGCAGCGCGATGCTGAGTGAGGAGTATTGTGAACGGGTGGGAAACCGTGAACGGCTGCTGTGCGACGCTACGGGGGACCGAAGATGCCAACGATAGTGTTCGACTGGACGGTGGGGTTTGAGGCGGCGTGATAAGCCGTAGGATAACGCCGTCGTACACTCGATTCCGTTGCGTAGCCTGAACATCAGTCATGTGGCAGATCTGTCAACTGCGCGAGCGGCGGTGACGGCTGACAGATGTCGGAGAGCAGTGGCAGATCAGCGGCGGTGACGGAATCTGACGTGATTCAATTCCTGAAGGATGAATGGTCGGCGCTGTCCGGAATGGTTGGCCGGAATGAATGGGCGGAGTGGCTGGATATATGGCTGGACGGAATGTATGGATGAACTGACTGGACGGATTGGCGAGGTGGAATGGTTAGACTTGGCTGGCTGAGTGGCTGGATGGAATGGCTAAACAGAATGGCTTAGCGGAATGGCTGAACGGAATGGCTGAGTGGAATTGCTGGACGGAGTGGCTGGGAATGGCTGGACGGAATGACTGGGAATGGCTGTGCGAAGTGGCTGGGCGGAGTGTCTCAAGGAAGGGCTGGGCGGAGTTACTGGACATAGTGGTTGACGCCTGACCAGAGTGGCTGGACGAAATACTGGACGGAACGACTGGCCGGAATGGCTGGACGGCTGGACGGACAGCCGGAAATATCTGCCTGGACGGACAGGAGCGTCAGGCCCACTCTGCGCCGTTGATCTATGACCACGCATGTCTGATGAGTTGCGACAGCACTCCACGCTTATGACGGCCCGAGATTGCTGATAGGTTTTCACCGTATGTAGGTATCGCTGGTGTTTCACCTGAAATATTCACCGGGGGAGAGGTCATGAGGCATGAGCTGTCGTACAGTGTGAATACAGATAGCACCTAAAATATGAGGTTTCATTTTGCTGCCACTTCAAGTGCTTTCGAATCAGCCGTTGGGAAAATGAGGTATGACGCCACCGTGCCTAGCTGCATAAATATAGAGCCATTTGTGCTGCCACGAGTGACTAATACGGCTCAGAGGCACGAGCCACGAGGATGTTCACGGTCATCTTTTGGAAGCATTCCATGTTATTTCAATGGTGCTGCCATTTGTTTCCTTATTTTGAGGGATGCGTGCATTGGCATTACGCCGCGAGGGGAGGCAGAGTCTGCCATATTAGATATAACTATTAATGTAGTAAAAATATAAAAAATACATATTTACGTATATCAATTGACACGCTGTCATGTTTTACTGCCTCTGACATGAACAAGCCCGCAATGATATCCGCCTGAACCATTGAAGCTTGAGCGACAAATAAATTATGATGGCATTTCCGATGTTGCGTGACTGGATTTCATGTACCAGAGAGACCGCAGCGTCCTTATAAGGAGCACTTTGGGGCACTTTGTGACTCATTTACAGCCAATACCAATGGAGCATGTCACAGCGATTGATCTAATCGGGCTTCATATGCCGCTACTCGGAGCTCGCGCTGCTATTGCACGAATGGCAAAACAAAAATAAACGTTTATAGGGCAGTATAGCTCGAGCGATGGAGTACAACGGCGTAAGCTCCCGTAAGGTGGTGCGACAAAGTTTTGAACTATTTATACATACAGATCCACTTATTTGAGGAGTCAAAAGAGCTCATCAAGGTTGATGTAGGGTTGGACTCAAGCAAGAATGTGAATAGTTTTGCTGGCATTTTGATTTGAGATGAGATGGTACAACTTATTACTAACTCACAATGGAACAAAATGTAGGTATATTGTTTCTTTGCTTGCATCCCCATAATCATAACCAACCCTTTCATAACCCCTATCATAACCCTTTCTTGGCATCTGCACCTAAATAAGACTTGTTGACAAGATGCTCATGGTCTTATGTCCTATAGCTGTCACATACAGGAAATGTCCCGGGTATAATTTTGGTCGTTAGCAGTTCATGCTATTTCATCCATTTCCGTTGATGCTGGAGAGTGCAGATTGCCAAACCAACATGACTGATGCCATATCATTAACGCTCCTGTGGTTTTGCGGTGGTTGGCCACGAATTTTGCAATTTTGCATGGCGTGGAATTGCCATACTCGCAGCTATGCTGTGGTAAACAGGAATTAGGTACAAGGATTGCGCAGCGCCGCAGAGCTTGCATTATTGCCACGGTGTTGGAATGTACATACAAGGGCCTCGTCTAAGGAATTTTCACTGGGGGGGGGGGGGGGCAGAGACTGAAGGAGACAAACCTAGAGTACCCCCAAATCCTGTTTTCTCACCGGATTTAGTTAGACCACTTATTTTTCATCTCAGCCCTGACACCATGAAAACAAAAAAGATCGGCCTTTTTGTGAAAAAAAACATTTGAACCATGCTTTCATATTAGTTTGTAGCCTCCTCACATTGCCCCATCGACTCTTCTGGCAAAGACTGTAGGGCTGGCTGACGGCTGTGTATTGTAAGGGTGGGCCTGCGCGCGTATCGATTGGCAAGTATGCATGGGATGCCTCTCTTCATACCGTGGTCTTTGTGCTCGAAACAATGACGGTGCATATGTGCACAATACGCGATGCCCAGTGTTTAGCAGGCAACATATGTACAATGGGTAATCTTGGCATGGCTGGTAGCCTATACAGTGCACAATATATATTCATAGAAGCTAAAGGCAATGCTCATCGTTGACGTTCAAGGTGAAATGTGTGTGTCACAGGTATCAAATAGCAAATAAAGTACCGTGTAGCAACTAGCAAGTGATGTTTCTTCATGAAGTGCGTTGAATTACGGTAGGTTCTGAACTCCATGTGTTATGTGCATCGTGCAAGCTGCACGCTGTACAGTGCACACTGTATTGCTGCACTCTACAAGGCCGGTGTTTGTATTGTGTGACGAGTGACGAGGCCTTTACAGTTCCGGCAGCTGTGGTGAGCTGCAGCTGCTACTTGGCTATCCCTGAAAGCTAACCGCTGCGCTATAAATGTAATATGAGCTCTGTGTGTTCCTATATGTAATATTGGTTGGTCGCAACACCAAACATAGTTAGGTCAGGTGAGTGCATCTTGCACGAGACAGCAGACAGCGTACCAGACAGCGCCGCTCACCTCTAAAACTGTCTGGAGTCAGACAGTGGTGGTACTCTGTCTGAGCTGCAAAAGCTCGATTGTGCTTACAAAGTACTAAGTGTACTATACAGTGTTCTATGCAAGACTATGCACCGTACAGGATTGTTCCATGCAAGGCTCTAGGCCCCTGGTTTCATATAAAGGCTTGGTTCTGCTTCATCAATTTCAGTACGATCTTCATAGCCCAGTCCGCCGGGTTGCAGCTCTTGAAATGCCTCACTGATCGTTGCAAATAAAATAAATCAGAGCCGTGTCGATAGGCACATCGAATAAACATCCTGTCGACTATAAACACGGAAGGTGAGACTGATGCCCCATTACCGACCGGGGGTGACCGGTATTGACAGCGGCGCTACAGGTCGCGTGCCATAAGCGGAGTCTGACGTGGGCTGAGAGGTGCTAAAACCAGGCGCAAAACCCCGCTGTATGCAGCCAAAGGGGTTTGGTGAGGACAGCTTGAGTGCGTAGCGATATTAGTGTCCATATATTAGGCCTAGTGGAACAGGTAATGGAGGGCTTACTTTTACCTTCGAACTAAAATGAAGACATATACAGCATACGCCGCTAAGTTGTTTCTCAAATATAATCAACAGCCGAGAGAAAAACATCAAGGCATAGCAGCGATATGTTCCCTATTATCATTCACTTTGGTACAGTACATTTTTTGATATTTCAATCAAATAAAAGATAGTCATCCTCAAAGATAATCAGGAAAGTCCTATGTGCCTTGTAGTAACATATTAGGTACAACAGTCGTAAATAATATTTAGCCTGAAACACGAGTCGTGATGATTGCAGCGTTTGTGAATGTCGCGTGTGTCTCTGACTGTTCCAGAGGAGCCGTCGCTGGCGGAGGTGCTGGCCGATCCGGAGGCGGACGGCTACGACCGCACCTTCAGCATGTGTCAAGTGGAGGCTAAGGAGTTTCAGGCCACGGTCCGCTCCACCGCCTACCGCGTCCTCAAGGGCGTCTGCAACCCAGGTGATACGGTGGTGTGGGTACCGGATGTGTGACTGCTGAGTGCAGGGACGGGACATGGATGAATGACCGACTACACTGAAAAAAGTTTTTACCATCAATTTACTAAGTTACTAGCTTTGGTAAATTTTACCATCAGCCTACCATCATATTACTACCAGCCTACTATGGTGCTGAATACTATCCTGCCTTGACATGTTGATATTACCATGGTTACGTTTATCAGGGGTGGTTTTGTACCCCAGTTTACAAGGTGGTAACCACCTGAGGCTAGTAGATACCCTCGTAAGCTAATATTCCCTACCATAGTAAAATCAACCTTTCCACGGGCGGATCCAGCATGTGAATTCGGCGATCAAGTCTCCTCCTTTCCATAGAGGTGTTTGCCAATTTTTGATATGTTGGAAGGAGCGTCATCCAAGGACTAGCTGAGACCCTGAGCAATTAATAGTTTTATGGACGAAAGGCCAGAAATTTCTTGCAACAGTTCCCTGGGTGTGCTTCTGCTGCTATGGTAAGGTATACCATGGCAACACCATGACAACACTACACCCTTACTAACAATCCACGTGCGTCTGACTCTGCTGCAGCGGCGCCGCCATGTCAGTTCCGGCCGCGCGCCGGCGTTGTGAAGGTGCTCCGTGGTTTTAAATATTTGAACGGTGATTGTGTGGGTGGTTAGCGTAGCTGACGGTGGAGGATACTCGGAAATAACAAGTAAGTCGTTGTATCTTCAGCATAATAATACTTATCTCACGAGTGCCATTTCCAGCAAAGATCGCAGCCTTTGTTTCGGTTCATGTTGTTGAATTTCCTTGAGACCCTGTTGGACCGGGTAGGGGGAGGGTGGTGGGGTGGGTATCATTGCGGGCATTTCCCAGCGTCGGAAATCAACGTGTTTTTTTATTTGTTAACCCACGCCTCACTGGGGTATGTGCTCTAACGCGCCCCACAGCACGTTACAGCACGTTACAGTGGGGGGGGGGGGGGCTCCTAACTCCGAAACTACTGGGCCGATTGTCAAAATTCAAACGGCCCCTGGTAGCCCTGGAAATATTGTTGAGCGAAGCCTAATGTCATTGACCTCGAGGTCATCGATGACGTCACAGGTCAGGTCAAAGTAAAAATATCAGCGTCTTGGCACTCTGGGCGCCGGCCAACAAATCAGATCAGGCTCATTTTTTGTTTGCACACTCGTGAATATATGCGTAACATAACCTGAGGGTACCGAACTTGTACTTCGAATTTTTCAGGTCAAGGCCATCTCATCCCAGGTCACGAAAGCTTTATATCGTGCATCGGTGACGTGAGACATGTTTTATGGTTCATGTAGGCCATATATATCGAAATCAGTGTTGTATGTGTCAGTTTAGGCCATTTTAGCTGAATATAGCTGAGGTCAGGTCAGGTCACTTTAGGTCAAAAATGGTCAAATTTTGAAGTTGACATTTTTCAACAAAAAAGGTGTTTGTCAGATGAAGTTCACATATATTCAACGCATATGTGTTCAAACACATATAGACCCCGTTTCCATGGGCATCACTGATCCGGATCAGCAAACTTAAATCGTATTATATTTCTCGAACTCTTCGTTACATGATATAATTCCAAGTGGATTAGGCTTATATAATCAGTTAATCCCTTATTTTCATTTTCATATATTGTCTAACTATACTGGATTAGCTAATCCATTTTTACTGATCCGGATCAGTGATGCCCATGGAAACGTGGTCATATTCTGCTTTTTTTCATTCAGAAACGTATATGTAAAAAAATAAAAAATACAATTTCTGAGTTTTTATATTTATAATTTTCAAAATATTCAACATTTCGAAAGTCCGAAATCAGTTTGGTAGCCCTGTAGAGTCCACCCATGCAAAAAAAAGGATCTAGCTTAACCCTCAAGGCGGTGGGGGGGGGGGGCATTTTTTGCATCCATCTTTAGTTTTTTTTTCGATATATCTCCAGAACCGCTGCGCCGATCTTCACCAAACTTTCAGTACCCTTTTGCACATTGTGACCAATTTTTTTTTCCAAAGGCTATGATAAGTTGGCCGCTACGTCGGAGTGACGTCATTTCTGCCATTGTCGACCAAAAAAAAAGCTTCGCGGGAAGAGCTGTCAGGTCTATAAATTTGATTATGCATAAAAATGTTCAAGACATGAAATGTGTAGAATTACCAGGGCTACTATACTGTTCTCTCGATTTTGTTTTTGAAGTTGACCCCAAAAATAAAAAGAAATAGATATAATAGCCAAAAAATCCCAAAAGTTTTTCGATTTTCGAAACAAACGGAATATATGTAATAGCCACTATGGACTTCTATTCACGTTCCAAGTATTAGATCGATAACTCCTTTTTGCCAAGTTATAACAAAAAAAACTGTTCAAAATTAATGACGTCAAATTTTCAAACTCGATTTTGGCAATTCTAGACCACAAAGCGCAAAACAAAGACCACCATTAGACTCGCCGTGACGAGTGGCATCGAATCAATACCAATTTTATGCGAAACTATCAACTTTGACCTGAAATTTGACCTTTTTGACCTGACATTGACCTGACCTCCACCAGAAAGTGACCAAAAAACCGTCCCTGATGGTCTTATAACCAACACCATTGAGGCGAATATGAAAAATTGGCCATAAAACATGCATCGCACAACCCTACTTAGTAAAGATAGGTTCATGTGCTGACCCTTGGTGATCGGACCTGGTATTATCAGTGACCTCCAATAGCAACATATGCTCGTATAATAGGCAACTCACGCCCTATCGCTGATTTTTGACAAAATGCCCTTTACTCGATGTTGCAGCGCATTCCTTAAAAGACCCGTGAACGGTGAAACATTTTATCTTTGACTTGGCCTGTGATGTCATCGGTGACCCCGAGGTCAATGAAATTGAAGTTCCCTCGACAAATTTAACAAGGCTATCGAACGCCATTTAAATTTTACCGATCCGTCATAGTAGCTTCGGAGATTCGGGGGGGGGGGGGTCAAAAATCCCCCCCCCCCTCCCACCGCGCGGAAGGTAGCCGGGAGGCCCACCGCTTGCCGGGTTAAAACTCAGATCTTGAGAGCGATTACCGTTGTTCAATGCTTTGCATCAAAATCGGCCGAACATGATGTCACTCTGGCGTCATTTCCGGCCGATCTATAGTAGCTACGAAAATTTTATTAGTGCACAAGGTGTCAAATAAATTGATGCAGCCGAAGGTCCTAAAAGCTTTGTTTTGATACGTCCAGCGGTTTTAAAGATATTGCGTAAACACGAGAGGGGCTATGAATAGCCCTCCCCACAGTAGGGTGGGGGTTAACCCTCGCCCGTATTGGTGTTTTTCCAGCCACGAACGTTTAAGGGGGGGTCCGTTGAACCCCCTCCTTGCCGTTTCGCCCCTGATTGAGCTAGAGCTTCGCGGAAAAAACGAGCGTGCTGCCCGTGACGAGAGAAAGCCGATGGTACCCAATTTTATCCTAGGTCGTCGGTCCTAGGTCATCGGTTGACCTTCCAGGTCAGGTCAATGACCCAAAAGTGGGGAAAACTGGGACCTGTTAGAACGTCGTAAAACGTGGCTGCTATTGGGTTTTTTAGGGAACTGATCACGAATATCATGTTAGCTATGATCATAGATGATGTCTTCATGCATTTAGGCCAGGTCGGGTCAGGTCAGGTCAGGTCAACCAGTAAGGGTTTTGCCGGGTATTCGTAGTAGGTGCACTAGGTGGCAACCGCCTCTGACAGCTTCGTAACATGTTACGAAGGCACCAAAACTACTTCGTAAATGTTCATATATGGTTGTTAAATTCGAAATCAGCTAAAAAAACTAGCCTAGAAAGATGCTGATAAAACTCGAAAAAGTAAACCGAGGTCATCAAAGGTCAATGAACTGACCTGACCTTCTGGTGACCTTGACATCCACCCTAATGCATGGGAGCAGCATCATATCCCATGTTTGAACGCTTGAAACCACGAAAGGACTGCAAACGCGCGGCAAATGCGAGCCGACATACGCCGAATCGCGATTCCGGCCAAACATGGTCTCGAAAAGTAGGTCACAGGTCAAAGGTCATTAGTCAGGGCCATTACATTTTTTAGGGTAGGTGTAAAATTGATTATAACTCGAGGGTACTGAAAGCTTCGTTGCGGTCGGCCGCTTTTTACGCGAGGTATTCGCGAAAAACCGAGGGGGAGTCCGTTCGACCCCCCCCCCCTATACGGGGGAGGGTTAACAAGCCAAAACGTTGCTAATTTTTATTTTGATCTGACCTGTGACGTCAACGGTGATCTCGAGGTCAATAAAATTAGGTTTTGCTCGACAGTTTTTCCAGGGCTATCAGACGCCGTTTCAGTTTTGACAATCGGCCCAGTAGTTTCGGAGTTGGAGCGGGGGGGGGGTTCTATAAATAGCCCCCGCCTCCCCCAGTGGAGTGCGTTACAGAACATACCCCAGTGGGGCGCTGGTTAAGAGTAGAATTTTTGAATTATTGCCAACACTCAACACTGCACCTCATGGCAATTAATTCATTATAGGGCATTTTACCTGAACCAGCCTCTGGCCTAATGTCCCAAATTTGCTAAATTCCTCACCCTACAAATCCCCTGTTCTATTAGATGCTGCCATTTTTTTAAAACAACTTATCTTAAATCCTTGTTTCATCAAACTGGGAGCTAGGTCACGGGACACTGCGAGTCAAGGTGGGAGGGGTAGGAGATAGAGTGTCACTGCAGCACACACAATCAATCTTTCCATTGGTTTATCTTATATCAATGCCTGCTCTTTTCCAGAGCTGGCTTTCGAAGTTCGAACCTTCGGTATATGGCTACCAATGCCCTTGGAGAAGGTGTTGCGTGATAAATCGCTGGAAGGGCGACATTCAACGATTGTGTGAAAAGAGACCGATTGCATTGTGATGATAAAGTGAACTGTAATAATTGTTGTTCATGCGCGTTGTTTGGTTATGTGCAGACGTAACTTTGTTTGTGGCCAAATGCTTTTTATGTGTGAAATATTTCATGTAGGTTACTAGGTAGATGCTTTGGAAAAGTGAAGAGCTGCTTTGTCGACTGCTAGGTAGATACTGTCATGCATGCTGTTGTGCATCAGTAAGTGGCTGTCGTAATGATAAACAAATTTGGCATGGATAGGCTAAAGCACAGCATATGAAGCATGCTGGTTGATGACTAGTAAGATCCTGTTAACCGACTGGTAATATCACAATAAATGTCACATAGTAAACTATTGTTTTACGATGGTTGGCCAGCAAAGCAAAGCTGGTATCCAGATGACAAAAGGATGGTTTTACCATGATAAGTCATTAGTAAGCATTACCAGGGAGTAGCTAACGATAGTAAAGTCCTAGTTTCGTGCTAGTATCACGTGGGTTTTTGGGCATGGTATGACGACATATAGTTACCGTGTTAATACCATGGTAATTTTTACTGGCATTGGTATTCACATGGTTTTACATTCATATTAGGCCTAGTATTTGGGTCGTAAGTTAGTTTACCATAGGTAAGAGGCTGTTCAAAATATGACCACCACTCGAAAACTAACTAGGGTGGTATTTTTCTTAGTAGGCGGTACCAGGATAATACTAGCGTTAGTAGAGCTTTGGTTTCTTATTAGTTATGCTTTAGTTTCAAGGTAGTATGATGAAAAAATATTACCGTACTAAGACCATGGTATTTTGATGAGCATTGGTAGTTGCATAGTATTCCTTTGATATTGGGCCTAGTATTTGGATCGTAAACTGGTTTACCATAAGTAAAAGGCTGTTCAAAATATGACCACCACCCAAAAACTAACTAGGGTGGTATTTTTTTCTTTCAGTGTAAGGGTATGTGACATGACCGCTTATAAAGGCCCGGCCGAGGCGGTTTGGTTGCAGGATGTGCAACTTTTCCTCCTCGTCCGCAAAAAAGAGCAATTTTTATTATAGTTCATAGGCAAGAATGTTGGTAGCTGAATGCTGTAACCTGCTCTGCTTCTATACCATGATTGAAGGCACACTCTCTAGTCTCTTGATTTCAAAACGAGTCTCCCACATTAATTGCATCTCCTCTTCCTCAATACCTGCCTGCCGTTCTCGCGCATTGTTTGACCATCCGTCCATCTGTCCTCAACCGTCCTCCATCATCGATGTTCGGTGCCTCCGTCCTCAATATTTGCTTCTCTTTCTTTGCTTCTCAGAGGTCCCTCTCCCGTCCTCCGGCCTCCGCCTCCCGTCTCCCTTCCTCCTGTCCTCCGTCTCCCGTCTCCCGTCCTCAAATCTTGCGTCCTCCGTTCTCAGATCTTCCCGTCTTCCGTCTAACGTCAGCTCAGATCGTCCGTCCTCCCGTCCTCAGATCCTCCGTCCTCCCGTCCTCAGATTCTCTGTCCTCTCGTCCTCAGATCCTCCGTCCTCCCGGCCGCCGGCCCTGCCGCTATCCATCTCGGGCAGACCCCCGCTGTCACGTGACCTTAATGACACACGCTCCGCGCCGTACATACCCCCCGGGCGCCGCGGTCGGACCGTCGCTCAGCTCCGGCGCTTCGGCGCTGCGGCCGCCGGTCCTGCCCCGTATATGGTGCACGGCTCGCGACCACGCGCCTTTGTCGGACAATTTGACAAATGACACTGTCAGCAGTCGGAAATGAAGGAAGGAATGTGTCAAGGACGACGGTGGTTTGTTTTGGAAAGTGGCCCATGCGTCTTACCGCATTTGTGCAAAGACGGTATTGTACTGTCGTTATGAATGAGTGTAATCTGAAAAGTGTCTGCGCTATGAGTTACCGTCATTTGTTTCATAGCTCCGTGAAAAGTGGGCCGTGATTACTGATTACCATTCCTGTTCAGCAGCTTCCTATTTTGGCTCATAGCTTCTAGACATTCATGGTGCAAGTTACACCAGCTGCCCTAAGCTGTAATGCACCTTATAAAAAAACTTCACCAATACCTTGCGATTCAATGCTGATTTTTGGATTAGACGCTCAAACATTCTAAAATTATCTTTGAAATGCCATTTTTTTATATTTTAAAGGGGTGACAGGCAAGCATTATGGTCAGGTCGGCAGCAGCCGAGAAACACATTGCAATTTCGTCCGCACTCTGCTCCTGCTCATCGCGATTCAAACAAAATAGTGATCCAATTGGACCCAGAATACTCACGAAGGGAAACGGTTATGCCAATTTGGCACCATGAGCAAGATATGACGAAGAAGTGAATAGTGTTGAACGTTAGACCTTGGTCTTTGAATGACTGAAATGTAAGAAAATAAACAAAATATCATAAATGCATTAGTCCAACCACCTCAGTTATTTTGACGGTCTGACTCATCTGATAACATGATGAAGCCGATAGGCCCAGAGATCATAATGTTTATGCCAGCTTGTGCATAAATATTCCGTAGGTAAAAGTCGGAAGTCACTCAGGTCACTTTGTTTACATTTAGTGTACGTTTAACGGTCGGCAATGGTCATAAATAATTGTCCTCATGATCGGGCTATCTCTTCACCAACCTACTTGCTACCCAGGTCTTATAAGACCACGTAACGCCGTGGGCGACTCTTTTAAATCGATTTTAAGATCTTTTTTAGTAGATTTCAAGATCGAATTTAAATCTACCGACAAGTGAATAAACGGCATCGATCTCACTCTGGTTTAAAAAGAGATCTCAGTTCTCAGTTCTCAGCCCATGTAAACACACATGGTGATCCCTAAAATGACCGATCGCGGTCAGAGTTGAAATAACCACTCTCTACTCCAGCTCTGATTGGATGACAGCGGCTCTCCAGCTGACTGTGATTGGTCTCAGTCGTGCCTACGTCACAGAGCCGCGGTCATCTCCGTGGCAATCACGACGAGGGATGAGTCGATCACTGTGGTGATTGTCAGCTGTTTATTTTTACTGTCCGGAGGTATCTGCGTGCACATACCCCGGACCAAGGTCACAGAGGTCACCGGGTCGGTGCGAGCCCGTGGCGAGACTGCCCTTCATTGCAACGGTTCGTCATTGCCAGCCGATCGAGAATGAGATGATGGAACCAACAGTAAATCTTCTTACTTTCAGATGTATGACCAATGTGACTCGAACGTGCTTGGGTCGACTTCCTCTTGACAAAAAAGACGTTTTTAATACCAGGGTGAGGTACATTTCTTTGTTATGTTTGAGTGGGCGTTTTTGGAAAGCGAGGCCACCGGATAAAATGATGTCGGGCTAGAATGGCTGATGTGTTCATGTTGTAAAGCGGGAGGAGATGCTCAAAGCAATGCCAGTTCTAACTTGCAAGACTTTTTCAGAATTAAGTGATACTGCAAGGGCGTATTATACTTATGAGGTCTGAGGTCACGTTTCGTGACGCTCGGCCCCAAGTTCCGTCCCGGACGTTTGGATCAAACCTGGCTGTATTTTGAAATCATTCTTCATTTCAGGTGAGCTTGAAAAATACCTGGACTCCATGGAAGAGAGGTTCAACCAGAAACTCGATGACTTTGTCGCCCAAATATCCAGCCTGATCAGACAAAACATTGGAACAGAGGGCAGCCTCGATACCAGCGCCGCCACCGGCGTCAAGGAGAACTACATCTCACCAGGTGGCGCTGTTCAGCCATCCACCTCCTGGAAGGCAGAAACGGCGAAGCAGCACGCATTCGGCAAGACGAAACGGTCACATTCCAAACACCTGAAGCACGCGACCCTCCAGAACGACAAGTGGTCTCGCTCACCGCTATCCGAGGCTGAGGAGCGTCGACTGGCCGTACAAAACCTCCTGCCGGGCGGCAGACACGGTTCGTCGGGCTCGACTCTGTTCAAGACGGCTCCCGGCGTGGCGCGTTCTCAGCGGGACTGGCCGGCGCTACGGACCAACAGCACTCCGACCGCTGTGGCGTGGGGATCATCGCAGGACGGCAGAAACTTCCAACACAAGGGCAGCCGTCAGGTAAGATCCAACTGTACTGGATTAGTTGCTCCTTATAGCAATCCGACAGTAATCGTCTGACCAATAGGGGGAGGACCGAATACGTTCGGGGTTCCGCCTGTCGAGACCCGTGGCTCAGAAGGATATGAGACACAATCAAGGCAAAGAGGGACACTAGGGACAGTTTAATCACGAAGCATGAACACCTCGTACCTAAAAAGCCTGAAGTTTGACAATGACGTCTGCCTTCCAATTTGCATCACAATCGTAAACCCTAAATGGTAATGAGCAACTCGAACTCTAGCGTGGTTTAGGAAGCATAGGTCTATCAGCATCATCATAACTAGATGTCAAATGTTCTCACGATGTTCTGAAACTATCATTCCGGGCTGTTTTCAGTTCAGCAAGAAAAGCAGCAGGATCCCCGATTCGTCCTCGTTTGGTGGCCAATACAGCACAGTACCTGTGCGCCACCTAGGCCGAGGACAGCATGTGACGGACACCATTAGTTACATCTCACCCCGACAGAGCGCACTGGCATCGCGGTACCCGGAGCTCCGGTCCTATAACGACACGGTGTATTACCGAAATGGGAAGAAGATTTTCACCTACTACTGGAAAATAGAGGTGAGAAGGAAAAATGCATAAGGAAGGCATGTCACCACAAACAGTCTGAAACATTAGAGAGGGTCCGACGCCCCACCTCGACAGTCGACTGATAAACCCTCGTACTCTGTTGACTTCAGTTCTTATTGAGAACTCGAATTTGTAAGCCGAAATAGATATTGACTCAGATAAAGTAAGTGCAGCTACCCAAAGCCGATCAGTGATCCATCTCATAGGCGAACGGCAGGCGCCAGGACAACGCTCAACCTCGACATAGAGATGAATAAATGCATTGAGTGTTGACTCCCATATAAAATCTCGGTCACACGAGTCTCTCGCTCCCCAGAATTTCGGCACTATGATGACCGACTGGAGCCCGGAGCAGTCTTTGCGCAGCCCGAGCTTCTACGTGTACCATGGCGGCTACCGCATGTTCCTGCGCCTGTTCCCCCGCTGGAACGGTGACAGCGTGCTGATCCGGGCGGCACTCACCTCCGGCAGGTCAGTGGGGTTAGGTCGGGTCAGGTCAGGTCAGGTCCAGTCAGAGGGTCGGTCGAGTCAGAGGGCCGGTCGGGTCAGGTGAGATCAGTTCAGGTCGAGATGAGAGTTGGTCGGCCAGGGCAGGGCAGGTCAGTAGCGGGATTTGGTCGGGTCATGTCAGGTCAGCAGGGCTTGGTCGGGTCTGGTCAGGTCAGAAGGTTAGTTAAGTCAGGTCAGGTCTGGCTATGTCAGGTCAGAGGTTCGGTCGGGTCAAATCAGGTTAGTAGGGTCGGTCGGGTCAGACAGTTCAGTAGGGCCGATCGGGTCAGGCCAGGTCAGGTCTGAAGGTCAGGTCAGTTCAGGTCAACCTGCAGTCTGCACATCCCATGCGGTGATCGCCCACCCCTCCCCTCATTTCAGACACGACCGCTCCCTGCCGTGGCCGTTCCGCCTGCCGCTGCGTGTCTCGGTGCTCGACCACTCCGCCCAACCGGACGACCTGCAGTCGCGCCTGTGGCGACCCCAGCGCGAGCCCTGCCCGCGGCGCACGTGGCACCGGCCGGCGCAGAGGCGGCGCCAGGGCCGACACCGGGGCGGGCACCGGGCGCTGCACGACGGCCACGCCTGCCTGGGCCTGAGCGTGCCGCACGCGCTGCTGAACCGGCGCCGCGCCCTGCTCGACGGCGCTCTGCTGGTGAAGCTGGATGTGTTTCTGGACGGGGACGGGGGCGCTAGGCGGAGGAGGGGTAGGTAGGGTGGAAGAATGTCTTGTGACAGTGTTAGCCGCTGGTCGTGACTGTTGTAACTAATAATGTTGTTAGAGAGAATGAATGGAACATAGACGGAATAAGGCATTATATGCATTATAGTTTGTGAGAACATGTCGCTAAATGATACCGTTAGGTGCGCTACAAAGGATACCTACCTTCCTACAACGATACTGCCATTTTTATTATTGTGACTAATGACTAACGCTTATTTGTTATAAGCAAAGATAGCAGCTAAATTTGCGATTTAAAGCTTCCCTAGACGCCCCATATGCATTATGCAATGCATCGACATGGGCCCATGGCTTATGTAGGCTGCTATTTGACATGTGTTTCTATAAACGAAGAGGTTTTCTTTGTTGACGTTTGTGCATGATTTAGATTTTAGATCGATCGGAATGGGAATACCGCAATAAAAATGCGAATGTGCCCATACCTACTATTGGCTAAGCGCCAATAGCTTATGGCTAAGTAGGTATACCCAGAACTTTCTATGCCCAGAACGCTAGACTTGTAAATGAAAGTATGCACAATGAAGGGTTCTGACATTCGTAATACATTGTGCTGCGCTCAATTGTACAATTGAGAGTTCTGACACGGAAGAAAGCTCAGAATTCAGTTGCATGTTTGAAGAACTTCAATCCGGGTCCATTCAGTTCATACCCATTACAAATATAATGCATACATGAACTGCATCGGTATTCACTGTTCAACTGCCTGCAAATTTAGATTTCACTGAAGTTCAACATCTTTTATGTAAGCAAATCCAGAGGCTATGCGTGTAACATCAACAAACTTTGAAGAATAAAATGTGTTTTTATTTTTAACCTGCAAAGCTAAATAAGTGATAAAGTACGCTGCCCATTCGGTTTCCTTCCGTTCCACTCTCCCACCATCCCCCACAATCGTATCTCCTGCACCCTATCCTGGCCGTCCTCCGTGAGCAATCACCGGGAGGATGCGGGTCGTCGGCGGGCTCTTCCGGCGGACACCACACCTCCCGCTCAGCGGATCGACGCCGCTCTGTCTTCGTCAGTGCCGCCTCTGTCCAGCGGAGCGGCTGGCCGGAGCGGTGGGCGGGACGGCGCCGGTGGACAGGCCTCCGTCCAGCGGGACGCCGGTGAAAACAGGGCGCCGGAGGGCATATTAGTCACGTGACGTTTGGAACTTCTGCCCCTCCGTGGGCCTTCTACATGCTAAACGTCACGTGTGAATTTCACGAACCTTGATCAAATCGCCCCAGGCGCCCTGTTTTCACCATCGTCCGTCCAGCAGCGTCCAGCGGCGACATCAGCACCGGCGGCCGATTGTCCAGCGGTGCCATCAGCGCCGGTCATTAGCCGTCCGTCGCCGGCGGCCGACCGCGCATAATGAATGGACCGACAAACGCCGCAGTGATGGCCGGTCAGCGCGGCCCGAGTGGCACACAATGCCGCCATAGATCTCCTGATCAGCTCGTGTCGTTAGCTGGACGAGTGGCCCAAGGGGACGGATGGTGGACGCACGGGGGATGGCCACAGGGGAGAGGGTAACCTGACTGGCACCAGACCAGACTGAGACGAAGCGGTGTAACGGTGTTAATGATGCTCCAAAAGTCCGCAAAATGTCCATGACATGCGTGAGGCCGGCGAATTGCACCTGAATAAAGCGTTTGCAATAATGGTAAGCACCGGCAAAGCTTCAACTGGTAAGTACCTACTACCTTATCTGGTAAGCAGCCAAATTAAAGAAATGTGAAGAAGAGGAAGCGTATCTACCATCTGCTCAAATCCTAGGATATCGATAGCCAAAAGGTGCGGAAAGAATGATACGTCAAGGATTTCACGAAGCTCTGAAATCCCGGCATGTTACCCAAAACAGGCCAGATGTAAATTGTGATGTAATGTAAACTGGTATTCTTAAAAAGCAGTGCAGCATGAATCATGAATTGTATCGCGCATGATTCCAACTGTATCTTGCTTTATCATATTCAATATGTTAATTAAAAATAAGTGCAATGTAACGCACGATTGAATTTAACGCTCTTTTGTCGCCCCGCTGCGAAATACCCATTACCCAGAGTTCATTTCCCGGTTAAATAAAATAGGATTACCCCTTCTCATCTCCATCGCCCCGTTACCTGTCGCCTCAAAAGCCCCCCCCCCCCCCCGTTCACTAATCCCTCCCCTCCAGTTTCACTGTAATCAATTGGGCCAGCATCTGTGGCGCAGTTATGGAAATCAGGATTAGCGACGGCATAAATTGAAATCATTGATTGGCGCAACCACGTCGCGACCGACGATAACACGCCGCGATCGACGGCCGACAGGAGGACGACTAATTAAACAGAGTGGCGGTATTAGTTCGATAGCCGCACGGTGGGCGATTTGAACAGCTATTCAGCCGCTATCTGGGCAGCAATAACGCCGTGTTGTCCGATGGTTGGGCCTGCAGGACAGCGTGTCGGATGTGTTGTCACAGGGTGATGTCAGGGTGGCAGGTGGCTACCGACGCGGGACACACGGCTACCGACAAAACACCGGGAGGCGGGAGGGCGGGAGGCGGAGAGAGGGATTAGAGGCGGTTGGGTGGGTGGAGAGAACTATAGTAACTAGTTGGATCGGAGAGAAAGGTTGAGAGGTGATGGGCTGATGAAGAATTGGATGATATTTAAATGACTTTTCCCGCCTCGACAATGTTGAAGAAAATCCTTTGAAATCGGAGGCGCCAGATGATAAATAAGGTCATGCAATGCTGAAGCAATGTTGAATATTTATGCACTAGTGCATAAATATTATTTAAACGACTTTGGGTTTGTTGACCCCTGGTATAGATTCAGATATGGCCTTATCATAGCTGTATATTGTATAGGTAATGATATTGTTTTATATCACCTTTATAGACCACTGACTTAAATGGATATTGGATGTCTTTGCTGATAGGTATCACAAGAAAATTCGTGCACATCGATCAATAGAAAGTTTTTTTTTTAACATATTGACGAATTGACCAGTTCTGCCGGTGATGGCATTTAAACAGCCCTACCAATTGCGTATTTTAGCAGGCACGCTCCAAAACTCTGATAATATTTTGTACCGTGCCTTATGCTCCCTGTTATGAGGAAGTGGGTGACAAATGACGAGACGTCGGACATTTTGGGACGAGAGTCGGACATCCAAGGCTCTGTAATCTTGACTGATATTCGCTGTTTTTTTGGAATATTCAGGCTTGAAAGTTATGTAGTTATGAAGCCCAATTAATTTTGAGTTCGAGGCCGGAAGACTGAATCCTGTACTATTGGGATTTGACAAATAGTAGGCTTATTATTTTGTCCTATTTTGGTATTTTCTGAAAATTTTGAGCTTGCTGAAAACCCGGATCGACACTTGATTTTTCATCTTGGCGCGTGCTAACTACCCAAGATGTCTTGAGTCAGAAGAAGTTGCAGAAGTTGAAAGACCTACAGGTGTGGAACTCATAGAACACCTCCAGGTAAAACTGGCCAGGTAGAACGTGACGTTCCTTGTAGTGCACCGCCAGCTAGTTCACCCTGGGCTTCAACTGAAGTACTGCCTGATAAATTGTCATCATCTTCGAATATCTACAGCAGAATGTTTGGCGTCGTCTGGAGGACAAGTGTCCTCGTCACAATCGTGGTGCATTGCGTGTTCATAAAGACAAGCCATCGTCAAGAGTACAATCCACTAAAGCCGACGTTGGTTGAACATATCAACATGCTGCCCATGGTTCCAAGGTCCAGCCCCGCTCCATCACATAGAAGATTTAAAAGGGTCAAGATGTACCTGACGGTGCTACTTCTGATGTTGTCGGGTGATATAGAGACAAACCCAGGGCCCGAAGAAATAGAGAAGGTTGAAAACAGCACAACTCCGGAAGAAGATCATGAAAAGACTACAACAGAATGCTTTGCTTTAAATCGCACGAAGGCTCTAAAGAAGCTGGAGAACAACCTGGGTCGCTCCTTCTACTCAATTGCTAGTCGTGACGGGCTTCAGGTAACAGTGAAACTTAACACGGCACTTTTTGAACTGTTTAAAACCGAGTGTGGGAAATTTGTAGAACACGGAACATTTTCGATTACAGAGAAGAAAGTATCCCATGACCGCACTAGACTGATCACGAAAGTGTTCATGAAAATCAAGTACGAACTCCGGACAGTGGCCATGACGTGTTATTACACCACATCCACAATACTGATCCAATCGAATCAGAAGGGCTCAGCTGGTGAGGGAGCAGCGATGATGTTTACGTCCTCGCTCCTTCTACCATTTCTTAATCAGTTGGCTGAGAAATTTAAACTTTCAGAAGTGCAGTCAGATATGAGGCAAGAAATTCGACGAGCGTTAACGGAACAAGAACAGGATACAATACTGTGTTGTGTGTGTCATCTACCGCTAACGTTCCGGAAGCTTAGAGGCAACACTATGGCAGGTGTACTTTCGTGTGTAAACAGCTCCTGTCAGAATCTTTCGCACACCAATTGCGTCAAGGAAAAATGGAGGAACTCGTGGCTCTGTGCGCATCACCATGGTGTTTCAGACATTGGTGCTTCAGACATTTTCAGTGCACCGTTACCAGGGTCAGTGCAGACAGGGAGATTGCCATGCCTCCCACTCTCTGAGTCGGCAGGAACGGCCTCTGGTAAGCGACACGGGAGTCTCGACCAACCCCTCTCTGCGGCACCGGGGCCGGCCTCCAGACAGGGAGACGGAGGGAGCAACCAGCCCCTCTCTGCAACATCGAGACCGACCTCTGGCCAGCGAGACGGGAGGCTCGACCAGCACCTCTCTGCGGCACCGGGGCCGGCCTCTGGTAAGCGAGACGGGAGTCTCGACCAACCCCTCTCTGCGGCACCGGGGCCGGCCTCCAGACAGGGAGACGGAGGGAGCAACCAGCCCCTCTCTGCAACATCGAGACCGACCTCTGGCCAGCGAGACGGGAGGCTCGACCAGCACCTCTCTGCGGCACCGGGGCCGGCCTCTGGTAAGCGAGACGGGAGTCTCGACCAGCCCCTCTCTGCGGCACCGGGGCCGGCCTCCAGACAGGGAGACGGAGGGAGCAACCAGCCCCTCTCTGCAACATCGAGACCGACCTCTGGCCAGCGAGACGGGAGGCTCGACCAGCACCTCTCTGCGGCACCGGGGCCGGCCTCTGGTAAGCGAGACGGGAGTCTCGACCAGCCCCTCTCTGCGGCACCGGGGCCGGCCTCCAGACAGGGAGACGGAGGGAGCAACCAGCCCCTCTCTGCAACATCGAGACCGACCTCTGGCCAGCGAGACGGGAGGCTCGACCAGCACCTCTCTGCGGCACCGGGGCCGGCCTCTGGTAAGCGAGACGGGAGTCTCGACCAGCCCCTCTCTGCGGCACCGGGGCCGGCCTCCAGACAGGGAGACGGAGGGAGCAACCAGCCCCTCTCTGCAACACCGGAA